CCCTCCTTTTTTCTTTATGCTATCTGGGAATAATTACGCCAACGAAAAAAGCCTTGCGTAATGAAACTTAGATCTATTTCATTATTGATCGAACTAGTGAGTAGAGCGCTGCGCATCGGCACGCAGCGCGAGTGTCGGTTACAACCTAGGCTATCCGTCTCAGAAGAGAATTCACATCAAGGCCCTTCGTTGGTGATTTTCTGGCGCGGGGTCATGGCTGTTTGCCAGGGAAGCAGGGGAGGGGTCTATTTGGTTCGACGAAATTTTTTATAGTGTTGAGGCGCGTTGGTTCTCCACTCTCCCGGCTTCCCGCTAGCCAGTGGCGTGGCAGTTATACTATTCCTCCTGGTAACCGGAAACCTCTACACCCTCCCTAGGACGGGTGTTGGGGTGGAGCAGAGGGGTCGTATTGGAGAACATTTTCCAGCAGTGTTCGCTTTTAATCACATCCATATTTCTCTTCTGCATGTTCCATGATACTCTTTTCCTTCAGGTGAAACTTGAGAATCTGAAACTTGGGAAAGAGGATGCACTACGTATTGTTGTATTACGTAAGTGTTACTAAATAGTATTGAAATGCTCTGTGTGATATGTTTGTGAGCCTTTCGTGAACGATTATCATTCCAGCGCCGATGCGTAATCAGGTTGTTGCGTCTGGCGCCGCTCAACCAGAAGTGGAAACGAAAGTGAAGAAAAGCGGCAGTAAATACGAGATCTCATTCAAACCAACGGAAGTTGGAACTCATAAGGTTTGATGTGATTCTAGTTTCCTGTTACATTTCGAACGATGATTCGAAACGTCGTTCAAGTCTAACGGGAACTTCTCCCATTACCACCTGACCGGCCAGGAACCGGTTTTCTTTGATCTGGCCTTCACTGACTGCCCTTCTTAAAGCTTCCAAATGTCTGAATGAGACTTCAGCTGATCACTCTCAAAGTCGTGACATGCATTTTATGAGAACTAAATCAGTACGGATATAGAGCTGAAAGATTCAAGTGGTGGAAGCACCATAGCTCTAATGTATATACGAAATCCCTGAGATCGGGTAGGCGTGGCTGCGTTCTTCAACTGAACCTGAAGGTGGCTGTGCTTCTGGTGAGATATTTTCATCTTGACACAATTGAGTCATGTCTCTGTCCAACACAGGACAAGATGACAGCTTGTCCCAGACTGGAATATTCCACGAGTAACCATTCCGTGCCATGTTCAAATGCCACGCCTACTCTGGCTCAGGGATAAGGAGTGTAGTTGAGGGGGAAGGGACGGGGAGGGACCGCAGAGAAAACGCAGTCTCCACTGAGTCCTGAGTC